AAGCAGGGCCGGCTCTGGCTTTTTGGCCACCCCAAGCAAAAAAAAAAAAAAAAAAACCTGCGGCCGGAGCCAGGGTGCAGGGGGACTCCCTGCACGGCAGATGTGCCCCGGCTAGCGGGGGGGAAGAGAAGGGAGGGGGAGAGAGAGAGAAGGGGGGGGTGGCCAGGGCTTCAGCAGGGTGCTGCCGGGGCCGCCTGCCGGGAGGGCTCCGCGCTGCTCCGGTCGGCTGGGAAGGAAGGATGTGGACTGCCCTGCTGGGCTTGCTGCCGGGCTTGCTGTCCTCCACGCTGCTGCCCCCTGCTGGGCGGCCAGAGCGGAACAACAACAAAACAAACAAAAAGAAAAGAAAAGAAAAGAAAAGAAAAGAAAAGAAAAGAAAAGAAAAAGCGGCCGTGCCGCCCTAGGATTGGGCTGAATGCCGCCTCCTACAAGCTGCCGCCCCAAGCACCAGCTTGCTCTGCTGGTGCCTGGAGCCAGTCCTGTGCATAAGTATGGGGTTTAGGTGCCTAAGTGTGGGTTTGTGGATCTTGGCCTCAGCTACTCCAGCGAGAGCACACCATGAAAGCTTGCATAGACAGATAGACATCCAAGGGAGTTTAGCCATTGAGTTAAATAGGAGCTGGATAGAGTGGGGCTCAATGGGCATTAAGGAGTTCATGAGACAGGGATCTTAGTGAGTGAAGCCCATATTTGGCCAATTAAGGCTTGTCACACATAATAACATATCTAATTGCTGTTCCAGTTCTTGCACTCTGTTGGGTACAGAAGCCTGGCTTGAATCCTTGCCAAGGAGTTATTATCTTATTTCCATCCAGAAAAGAATTCTTAATGGCCTAAGGGTCCAGTCCTACTGCTGTTAATCATGTGAATAGTTCTACTTAGGTCAGTGTTACTGCTCACATAAGTAAGGGTAGCTGAAGCAGGGCCTACAGGTGTAATATAAAGAAACTAAGCTCTCTTATTAATAAAACATTAAAACTGTTCTCCAATTTGCAAGCAATCACTGAAAAGCAGAATCCTACAGCAGACATAAGCTAAGTGTATGTTCATAGAAGGATAATATATATATATTTACATACACAGAGCAACCATTTGCAGTTTATGCGCAAAATTCAGCCTTGGTGTAAGCAGATGCAATTCCTATTGATGGCAATAGGATGATTTACACCAGGGCTGCTTTTGGCCCCAGGTCTATTTAGTACAAGAATGCACAATAGTACCAGATGGGGCATTGATTTAGTACATGTTGAAAGCTTTTGTACGTGAATATTAAAAAAGACTGTTTCTACAATAGCAACTATTTGGGGCTGGAGAACAACAACATGTGCCAATCTGAGTTGCATAATGCAACAGTTTCTTAATCTCTCCCATACAGTTACTGTATAGCTCCTCTATCTAACACAAGGATGCAGCATGTTTCTCAAAAGATGTGCCCTATATTCACTCGTGAAAGCACAAGCCAGCCAGTGGGAGTGATTGAGGCAGATCTTAAAGAGCCCAGGGGCTCACACTATTTTAGTACAAGGGATTGGCACACACACACACACACACACACACACACACACACACACACGAACCTCACATTTTTTTGCACATTTCGTTTTCATTTGTTTTATTAGGCTACAAAACCATTTCAAAGACCTATAACTTTATATAAGGAAGTGAACAGGTTGTCTTTGGGCAGTAGGAGGCTTTTTCATTTATTAGTGGGTTCTTTTAAGGGCAATACTACAGTGATCCCATGAGCTCCGTTATAGCATTGATTTGATTTAGATTTTTTTTTTAATTAGGCTGCATTTTATTAAAATGCCAAATGTCAATGTGAAAACACTGCGTGTGTTGCCTTGTTTATAAAGTTTCTTTAGCTTGGAATGGAAAGCATAGTTTGTAAACCATTACATCATCCATTATTTACCCCAGGGCCTAGTTTAAGCATAAGCAATGTAAACAAAAGGTGCATTGCTTTGGGATCCTATTCAAGCCCTTCTTCTAGAAGCTATCTAATTTACCAGTCCACTCACACCTTCCAGCAAGGGTTAATTTGCTAGAGTGATCTCACCCTTCAAGGCTTGGACCTGAGGGAGAGAATTTGCCTGCCTAATCTCACATTCTGGCAGTGGGACAAGATGGGAGGTAACTTATCCACCAGTTCCTTCCCTTTCATAGCTCAATTTGGAAGGCCAGCCTTTATTGGTCCAATTAGCAACAACTCTTGCATCCTTCCTAATGTACCATTAGGGTTTTTTCCCAGTAAAATGCTTATCGGACATAGCACAGCAATCAGAAACACACATTTAAAAGCACGATGAAATCTTCATATATACGATACTGTAGATATGCTTATTTAGTGGCTCCTCTCATTCTCTTTGCTACATGTATAAACAGTTACTATAGAAGGTCAGAATATTGGAAACTAGTATTAACCACTTTACAACAGAGTAAGGTACAGGATACAGTACTGAATAAGTTGATGGAAAGTATATTGCAAACTTAACTTGCTAGGGTCCAATTTAAAACTCTTGGGCTCATTCCTTGTTTTCTAATTAGATTTTTTCATATAATATGTACCGTATCAATAAATTTCCCCCTTAAAGTCATGCCTACGGTGCTTATTCATTGTGGATCTGCATTACTTCAAATAGACATCAAGGGGCAAATCATAGTCTCAGGACACAGCCCTGGTAAGTAGGCTGAGTGGTATGGACTGGGGGAAGGGCATATGGGGAATAGAAACTTCCCTTCCACCACAAGGTAAAAAATAGTAGCAGAGTTGATCCAGGGCCATTAACTCCAGCAGTCAGGGGCTTGGCAAGTGGCTCTGCATAGTCCTGGATCCACTGGCCATTCCTTTGCCCCTGCCCAGGTCTATGGCAGTACAAAATCCCTATTCTTGGGTCCTGGGATTTTGCTTTCTAGAGCACAGTGTAAGTATGCTGCTTCTGTTGCACCTAGTGCTCCGGTCAGCACAGAGGCTTTGTGTTCATGTAAAAATACTGTGCATGTTTACCTCAGGTAAACTAACCTGAGGTAAACATGCACAGTAACACACGAGCTATCCTGAGGTAAAAACACAATGAAAACCAGGCATTTCAGTTTTATTGTGAGGTAAACTCACTAAGGTCATCCCCTGGAGGGGGTACAGGTTGTTTATCCCAAGGTAAAAAAATGACACAATTTTTAGCAGTGAAGACAAGCCCAGAGAGGCAGGCAAGATGGATTTACCTCAGGGGCAAAATCATGCCTTTAAGTGGCTGATTCTGGGAAGCCTAAACTCCCTTGTGAATCCTGGAGCTTCCTTCATTTCTATCTAGATGTTTATAAAATAAGCCTGAAAGCACGTTTAATTTGTGTCAGGGCTTGCCAGGGCTGAGTCCCGGCACCTCTAGGGTTGCAATTCAGAGCCCCGGTATCTCTGGGCTTGCCGCATCAGTTATGAAAGCACCTAATTGCTTGCGCCCCAGCCAGGGCCGGCTCCAGGGTTTTGGCCGCCCCAAGCAGCCAAACAAACAAACAAACAAAACAAACAAACAAAAAGCCGCGATCGTGATCTGCGGCGGCAATTCGGCAGGAGGTCCTTCGCTCCGAGCAGGAGTGAGGGACCGTCCGCCGAATTGCCGCTGAACAGCTGGATGTGCCGCCCCTCTCCGAAGTGGCCGCCACAAGCACCTGCTTGGTAAGCTGGTGCCTGGAGCCGGCCCTGGCCCCAGCATCTCTTTCATTACAAATTAAGCACTGCCTGAAAGGGATTTCTTCCAGCCTGTTGTGTGGTTGTTAGATTTGTTTTGCATTAGAAATTCAGGTTTTGTTTACACTGTTTTTGGTTTGTCTATTTTTTTACTTGAAGACTTTATGGACTACAGAGAAAAATGGTAGGATTAAGGGCAGATGAAGCTGAAAATCCACATCTGAGACGTCCATTGAGTTTTCCTGCAAAACAAGGGAAGACCACACTTGACATTCCTGCTATTTATTAGTTTAAAAAATAAATAAATTAAGCAGGAAAATAACTAGTATAAAGAAGAAAAACAACCACACAAACCTACTTTTTTCCTGCTGAACATCATCTTTAAAGTAAACTCTAGAGTCATGCAAACAGATTCCAACTGAAATCCAGATCCAGAGTAAATCCGTGCAGCTCCATTCAGACAGTAGACTCCTCAGGATGAATATATGGGGGTGGTGGCGCTGAAATGGTTAAACCGAGAGTGCAGTACACATAAAAAATAACAGACCACATACCTGCGGCAAAATAACCTTTTCATTCTGACACAAATTGGCCCCTCTTGTTGGGAGCTGAAACACTTTAAGTGGGTGTAGGGAGATTCCTGCATAAACATCATCTGTTATAACAAAGGGCCTGTTTCTTCTCCTACTGAAAACAATGGCAATGTTCCACTGACTTCAATGGGAGCAGGATCGGGCCCAAGGTTTCCATGCTGCTTTCAAAATGGAAACCTCCTCCCTAACTAATCTGAATACAGGTCTCACAAATGTTTTGCTTTTGGGGATAGCGGAAACAACTTATTTTATGTGGACGAGGTTCCACATCTGATATGCCCAGCCACAGATAAAAATCACAAGTATGCTTCTCAGATATTAAATAATATTGTTTAAAGATAGAAGACTAGCAGCTCACAATTTCTAATTATAGTCAGATAGGCTAAATAATCCAGAGTGGTTTACAAGTGGGTGGAAAAGAAAGTGGAAACTTCTGTGAATTTTGGTAATAATTCAATTTAGTATCTTATTTTGATAGAGGGCTCCCTCTTCTGGATTTTGATTTAACTGTATTTCCTGGAATCAAAACTTGGCTGAATAGCCCTGCTATACATTTCAAACATAATTATTACTAGACTTAGGATGACATTTTCAAACGCCTAAAAGTGTCTTAGAAGCTCAAGTCCTATTGACCTTAGTCACTTAGGCTCTTTTGAAAATCCTAGCGTTAGTGTTTAAGCATCAGGTGCTGTGAAATCTGGCCTGTGAAATTTTAAATGTATTTCTTTAACAAGGGCACTACATTCTTGTATTTTATATTTCAAATTCACATATAACAGACACAGAAGTGTTTTTAGTTTGTCTCAGGTAGAACTGCTTGAATAGTAAAAACATTTATAAGAAGAGCCAGTCTATATAAAAACAAAACAAAAACAAGTGTGAGCTGCAGGACAGTAGAAACTCAGCATTCACAAACAAAAATGGCTCCTTCTCCACACTTTTAAGTAAAGATTTAATAGTACAGCAATGATATTTAATACTGATGCAGAGAGATCTCATATTACTGTAGGAGTGTAGCAAAATATAGGCTCAATCTTACTACCCTTTGAATTTAATAGCAAATCTCCTATTGTCTTCAGCTGGAGATGGAGCAGGCCTACAAAACATTTATCATTTATGAAATATTATCATACTTGATCTCAATGGGAGTCAGACTGAGTCTTTACTTACTAAACTGCAAAAATTCAGTGGTGCACAATGAATCTTCTGGTCATCAGCATGAATCAGTGAGGTCTTACCGTACCTTGTGGTTACTTTTCTTCTTATTTCACTTAACAAATCCCCTAACTGATAAGAAATATTTCCAAGGAGCACAATCTGTGGATGACTATGCCTTTCAGATCAGCAGTCCTAGGAGGGAAGTGTCCCTAGAGTGGGAAGCTCCCCAAAACCCAAACTATTGTTCTTTAGCATTGATACAAATCAAAATAGTTTCATGCAGATACAGTCCTAAAATCCTGCCGTACCCTGCAAGAAATTTCCTGCCTCATTGAATTCCTGCAAAAGACAGACACTCACTTCCTGAAAAATAGGCAGAATTGTCAGGCCTGGGACTGTATATTCCAAAAATCAACATTTATTTGGGAGGATAACTTTTTCAAGCTGGAAGGAAGATTTTTTTTAACATTGGCAGAGCTATAATACCCCAATGCAAACATTGCTATGAGGCTGTGGCTATTGATTAGGTTCCTGGCCAAGTGGAAATTCATTATTCTAGGAAAAGATGGGAATGGCAAGAAATCTCTGGAAATTCATTGAAAATAAAATAATAGTACTTCACGTTACCTCTTGGCCTGAAAAGTAATCACAGCCCTTTCGGGGTTAAATCTTCAAGACTCAATACATTATTATACTCCATTACCTTTTAAAGTAGAGAAATAATCTAATTCTGTCATTAGTCTAACTTTTGCAGCTCTGGCTACTACATTGGAGGGTCTGATAACATTATAAAACCATTTATTTGGGAAATACATATCACCTTTTCAGCTAAAATTTAGCAAATGTCTGCCTATTATTATTAGATTTATTATGGCAATACCTAGAGCCTCAGCTGAGATCAAGGCCCCATTGTCCTAGGCACTGTGCAGAGACATGGTAAGAGACAGTCTCAGTCAAGAAGGGCTTAAAAATGTAAATAGATGACACAGATAAAGGGTAAGCGAAGAAATCAGTGAAGTGAGCTGCCAGATGTATCCAGCAGGTCAGAAGGAGATCAAGGGATAGCATCCAGGTCTCCTGTGTCCAAGTCTAGTGGCCACACCCCGGACAACACTTTTAAAACTGTGGCTACACTTTCAAAAGTGACAATGTAAAAATGGCATCATAGGGTTCCATATTTCAATCATTTCTATAGGAAATTTGCAGTTTACAAGTGAATACATTTTTTTCCAACCGCTGGCTCTAAAATACCACCCGGGGATCTATAAGCCATGCCGGGTTACATCTTCCTCATGTGTCATCACCAATAATAAAAACATTGGAGGCCAATTTTTGCCCTGATTAACCCCTGTGAACTAGGCTTAATTGAAGTTGCATGGCTATGACAAAGGGCAGGATTTGGCTTTTATATTCTTTATTACTAGGGATAATACATGGGGAGAACCTGTACTATGTAATACATACTCTGGACTCATGTTTGCCAGGAAAGACAATGTCACAACCCCAGGTTTCCTACACTCCAGAGTCATATAACTGCTGCTCACCACCAAGCTTTGCATTGGATACGTTATGGCACATCACCCCTCATTCTGCTCCCTAATTCCAAAAACCCTGTCCTCTGGAGCCGGGTGCTCGCTGATAAGCATGGTAGGTACTCTTCAAAGGCCACTACAGGAATACCAGTCACCACGGCTCCACTCCACACTTGGTTAATGAACTCTTACTTTATTGCAAGTAACCCCATGAATGAACTCAGTTACTGTTCACCTAGAGGTGCCCTCTTTGCATAACCTCTCATATACAGAAAAGGGTTATTATAGACCCCAGACTTCCTTCTCAGGTGCTGCTGGGCTGTACATCCTCAGAATTTGGTCTCATTGCCATCTTCCCAGTAGCCCAGACTCCTATAGTCCCTGATTAACTAGTCTCTGGTGTCTTGAGAATACCTAGCACCTTCAGCCAGGTCCTGGAAAAACCCACTTCTAGCCGGTAAGCCTCAAGTCTGCCTTCCACCAATCCTCATCCCATTGCTGGCATTTCAATGAATGTTCCATGGTGAATCCTGGCAACCAAATGGGCCTTTACAGAGTCCTCTGATGTTAAATCACTTTGTCATATCCAACCACAGATTTTACTTCCCCCAATAGGGGGAGGGCTACCTCAGTGGTTTGAGCATTGGCCTGCTAAACCCAGGGTTGTGAGTTCAATCCTTGAGGGGGCCACTTAGGGATCTGGGGCAAAATCAGTACTTGGTCCTGCTAGTGAAGGCAGGGGGCTGGACTTGATGACCTTACAAGGTCCCTTCCAGTTCTGGGAGATAGGATATCTCCATTAATTTATTTATTATTAACCCCATACATAAATAACATTAACTCATCACATTACCTAACATTCTCCACAGAGGGCACAGCACATTTTATTTATGACACAAGAAGACAGCTCTTGAGTCTAGAAACATCGAACTCTTAGTGTACAGCTGCCAAGTTTTGTGCAGCTCCATGTGTGACATGTCAAAAAATTACTCAATTAGTTAATCTGTATATTTACACCTCATTTTCCTATGGCAAACCGCACCTCTGATCCCTTCTGGTCTCTCGATAAACTTTTCTGCACAACCTCTCTCTGGCCTCCTTATCAGAGCTCGGTGACAATGCCTGGCACCTTACCCCTTTTCCCAGGAATCAAGGCAATTTTAACTGTTTATAGCCCTTTGTATGCAGTGTTGTTGTGGCCAGGTTGGTCCCTGGATATTAGAGAGAAAAAGTGAGTGCAGTAATATCTTTGATTGGACCAACTTCTGTTGGTGAAAGAGACAAGCTTTTGAGCTTACACAAAGTTCTGAAGACAAGCTCTGTGTGGCTTGAAAGCTTGTCTCTCTCACCAACAGAAGTTGGTCCAATCAAAGATATTATCTCACCCACCTTGTCCCCTATAACCCTTTGATTTTACACAGCTAGCTCTGGAAAAACAAGGTATATAACAGAAGACAGCTCTTTGAAGTTAATAGTCTGCCTCATTGTCCTTCAAATGTATGCCTAGAGGTTATCTGGGAAGCCATTGTGTTGCTTCCCTGTTTGTTCTTCCCATAGACCTATTAAGCTAGATATCTATGCATTCATACAGGAAAGTCACATACCGTGCTTATAAAATTGTTACATCTCAGTACTGTGACAGACCCAGACCAGTGGGGTACAAGAGTCTGGTAGAGGGCAAATATACTGGTCACTGGATGAGTAGTTTTCTGTTCCCTGAGTGACCAGAGCAGGGGCTGCACTAGAGTAATCAGGAACCTGCTAGAACCAGTTAAGGCAGGCAGGCTAATTAGGACACCTGGAGCCAATTAAGAAGAAGCTACTAGAATCAATTAAGGCAGGCTAATCAGGGCACCTGGGTTTTAAAGGAGCTCACTTCAGGTTGTGGTGTGAGTGTGAGGTGCTGGGAGCAAAAGGTGCAAGGAGCTGAGAGTGAGAGGTTGTGCTGCTGGAGGACTGAGGAGCACAAGGGTGATCAGACATCAGGAGGAAGGTCCTGTGGTGAGACTAAGGAAGGTGTTTGGAGGAGGCCATGGGGAAGTAGCCCAGGGAGTTGTAGCTGTTACAGGAGACACTATAGACAGCTGCAGTCCACAGGACCTTGGGCTGGAACCTGGAGTAGAGGGTGGGCCTGGGTTTCCCCCCCAAACCTCCCAATTGACCTGGACTGTGGGTTCTTCCAGAGGGAAAGGTCTCTGGGCTGTTCCCCAACCCACATGGTGAATCTCTGAGACAAGAAAATCCGCCAATAAGTGCAGGACCCACCACGATAGAGGAGGAACTTTGTCACAGTACTCATAACATTATCACAGATATTACACAACAGAAGCTTCACTTCTGTCAAAGCAATAAACATTGAATGGATTTTGGGCTGGTAAAAGGCTTGAGGGAGGGTTTCTCTTACAGGGCTCCCATGAACTGTGGAAGTAGGTGTGGAGAAACAGGACCTTATCTTTGCCAAGCCGGGGGAGAGTCAAGGGCTTGAAGGAAACCAGAGGAAGTTTGTGGGGGAACTAGGAGTAACTCTCAGACTGAGGTGGGGTGCAGTTGCTGGGCATCAAACTTTTGTGGCAGCTTGCTACAGGTTGGATTAGCCCTATTAGCTCATTTCCACTCCATTAGCCTCTTCCCCCTCATTACTTCCTATCACCCCCATTAGCTTCTGCTCTCTACCTCTGCTCCTGCTTCCTCCAGTAGCTTCTGTCCTCTCCTTTTCTCCATGTAACCCCTCCCCACGCCTCCTTTCCCCCATAGCTCCTGTCATTCCTTTTCCTCCATCAGTTCCTCTGGCCCATTTTGCTTCCCTCTCCTTCCCCTCAGCCCCCAGTTCCTGGTTCCTCAGGAACCTCTCTCCAATTGCCTCTACCCTCCCTGCTGTGATCAGGGCCGGCTCCAGGCACCAGCCTACCAAGCATGTGCTTGAGGCGGCACCTGGAGGGGGGCGGTGCTCAGGGTTGGGTTTTTTGTTTTGTTTTTGTTTTAAACATACTGGGCTGTTGGGGCGCCTGGCGGCGCTCCGGACGGTCGGGGAGAGCGGGGCAGCGGGAGGCTTTTTTGCCTGGGGTGGCAAAAATGCCAGAGCCGGCTCTGGCTGTGATGACCCTACCCACCTCACCTCCTTGTCTTCCTGGGCTCCATATAGCTGGGAACAGCAAGGGGAATAGAGGGCAGCCACAGTGGAAGGCATGCTTAGCAGGCAGCGCTGTGTTCCCTAGTGGCCCCAGTTTGAACTGTAGCCTAAATCCTCCTGCTTCAGAATGCCTGATGGTCGACTTGGGCTGTGGGAATGCCTGAAGAGTTGCATGCTGAGAAGACATTTTCTCTTGGTACATTGTCACATGTGTATAGCTCAGAAATTAAACCCCCTCATTTTACTGAGAACAATCAGTATCTATCTCCTCCTAATCCCTTCCAAAGATTTGGTCTCTACAATCCGGGGGAAGCTAACCCTTAAAATGGAGATTGCAATGCCAGTCCTGGCCTCCACAAATATCACAGCTCTTTAGAGAAGTAATGATTCCCAGCCTCCAGCCCCAACCCCTTTTCCTCTCCCTTCATGATCCGCCTGGCCAGCTCTAACCTGCAGACTATGAGGTTGGCATGGAACTTCCAACTGCCCCCTGTGGAGACTTTGACATTACTTGAAGGCTCCATCTTTCATGGGCCAGGCTACACAAGCCCTGGCCTCCATACACCCTACAGCACCCAGGAGATCTCTGAAGATCTAGAGAAGTTGTGCCTTACACACCATCCACCAGTCCTGACAGCCACACACCATGTGGTGCCCGGGAGATATAAATGTCCACAGCTGCCTATAGACCCTTGCCTTCTTCTCCCTTTGTGATCCACTAAGCCAGGGGACCAGGAGGCCGGCATGGACTTCAAATTGCCCTCCTTGTCTTTTCATGACCAGTCCCCTGTGAACTCAGACAGTGTAGTACTTACCATTTCCCCAGCCAAAAATGCCAAAGGAAAGAGCCAGCAGTTTACTGATTGATTTGCTGAAAAACTGGTAGATGAATGACAATGTGGCAGATTGTTTTAAAAATCAAGAGGTTTAACATATTCTCAAGATTTTGGGAGCATTTGATTTCTGGTATTTGAAGGCTTCTAGCTGGAAGTACTGCACACAGTGATCAATTCCATGCACAAAACTCAGCAATGGGGTTTCTAATTGCAACCAAAGGACAATCCTCTGGATCCTCAAAGCGTGACAGTCTGAAGAGCCTCTGCATTTCCCATCTCAGCCTGATTCAGCCAGAATGGTCTGCAAGACCAGGAAGATCTATTTCATTCCCCACAGACCTGTTGGGCAAAAAACACCAGAGATAATTGCATAGAATTGCACATTGATTTCCCTCTCAAAAGTGAAATTTGGCATTGTCCCCCAACTGACTCTCCCGTCACTCCTCCTCAACTCAGAGCATTAAGCCAAAGCACTTCTAGAAACAAAGAGCTAGCTTTTGTCTCCCCACTGTGATCTGGACATCAGAGGACTAGTCCTTTGTAGTACACAGCATGACCACTCCCCTCCTGCTTGATGTGAGTCACCGGGCACTGCTGTCTATCCTCTCTTCCCCTCCCCTCCCTTACAGTCAATCTGCTGATACAAATTGGACAGTCACCAAAGGGTGAAGCCTGCTTTCTAGATTCCACACAGCAACTAGACCCAGTGAGAAGCCTCCACCTCGGGAAAGTGAGGGGTGGTTTATCCCCACTGAACTCAGCCCTTACCCACCAGTCTTATGTGTGTTGGGAGAACATGGATAGTGAGAGAAGTCAATAGACATTATAGTGACTTATTCCAATAAGAATGTTGTTGTTGTTTGTTTTCAACCACTGCTAATTTCTCACTCCTTGCTGGAATTCAGTGGAGTTGTTTTACCCAATGTCTCCTGTAAGCTTGGACTTTCCTAGGATCCATCCCCTGCACTTCTCCAGGGCTTCATCTGAGAGCTTTGTGGGGACAAATAGTTCTCTTCAGAATGGGAGGTACCTAATTTAATTCCTGTATCAAAGAGGGAAAGGGAGACTTTCCCAGTCAGGCTGTGAGATTGAGATGCAGAGGCTCAGCAGACTCACTCAGTTCCCCAACACAGCCTGCAACAGTTCCCTAAACCAAACCCTAGGGGACTCATGAATCCACCGATTCCTCTTCACCAAGATGTCCCGGCCAAACTCCTAGCCACACTCAAAGCTCCTACTCTCTCTCATGCAATCTCTCCCAGACAAACTCCCCAGGGCTCTAAAGCCCTTCTCTTCCCTCTGTACCAGAGCAGTTAGAACAACTTGTCTGTTTTCTTTATAATGTCTTATTTTCTTTTTCTGGTCTTCCAATGCAATGAGAAAAATATCTCAGTCATAATCCCAGGATCCATGCAGCTCGCAGCACCATCTCCCCAGCTCTCAGAAAGGGGACAAATCTTCAGACCCATTGATTTAAGGAATTTCCATGACTTGGTTCCCCCAGTTTGTGCTACACAAACGCACAAACTTTCTCCACCCAAAAACTTACCTGTTCCCATGGACTTCTCTGGGTTCCTCTTCTTTTCCTCTCATGTGGCCTGTTAAATCTCTTCTTTATAATTTATAATTTCTCTTTTTCCTCTCTCTGCCTGAGTTGCTGTGTGTGTCTCTGTTGCCATGAGATTCACCCAGCTATTCTACTCCCACTCCACTGAACTGCTGAAACTTCTAGAAAGGCAGGCCAGGCTTCATCACCCCACAAATACTGTGTTAACCTCAACGCTGACTTCACGATGCTTGGCTTTGTGTTGACTGGGTGACATCACAGCTAAACAATGAAATGTTCTCCCTGCTGTCTGTTTGCTTTCTCCCAGAGTTAGGCAGTATTTAACTCCCTCATTCTTTGATGGAAAGTCTTTTCCTAATAGGATGAGGAAGTCACTGCCACAATCCTTGCTTTCTTCAGCAGGGAAGCAGAAAATGTCCCTAGTTTCCATCTTTGTCACCTTAGTTGCACAATCGTTCATCTCTTGGTTTGCACTGTGCTTTGTGTCTCAAAATTGTTTAGTCTTTAAACCACCCTTATGCAGGAACCAACCTAGGATATATGTCTTCTCAGTATATAAAAATATTACACACAAATAACTATATTAATAGACGACTATTAAGATTGCCAAGTCAAGCACTGAAACATTAGGGCATACCAGAATTATAGTTGCCTGTGAAACCTTAATATGGCTCCCTTATGCTAATACATTATGATACAGTCTTCAATAACATGATCCTGCACTATTTTTTCCAGAGGACCCCTGCCTTATTCAGTGCACAGAATGGATGGTGCTCAGTCAGGGCTCGTCTTCACTGGTGAAGATGCTCTAAGACGACTTTCCACTTCCACGAAAGACAGTAGCTATGTCGGCGGGAGAAGCTCTCCCACCAACATAGCATTGTCTACACTGGCGCTTAAGTCAGAGTAACTTACATTGCTCAGGGGTGTGGATTCCTTCACACCCCTGAGCGATCTAAATTATACCAAAGTAAGCGATAGTGTAGAAAAAGCCAGAGGCAATGTGAGGTGGGCATGGGGGGGTCATGTGCTCCCTGCCCCAGATTTACTGCTTGGCTTGTACTGACCATGCTCACATGGATTGAGTGTGCTCAGTAACACTGTTGAAGCCGGCTGCCCTCACTCCGTCCCCCCACAGTCAGCAGGCACTGGTCGTCTCTGAGACAAGCCCTTAATGAGCAACTATTTTTTTTTCATTCTTGTTCAATGTATGGCCCCCCAGGCCTTATTGACATCCTGCTCTGAATACAGAATTATGAAGTTCCTCCTGGGCTTTTCTGTGGCGCTCATCATTATAGTATCTGAGTGCTTCACAGACATGAACTGATTTATCTCCACAACACCTCTGTTAAGTGAAGTAGTGGTATGTTACAGATGGGGAGCTGAGGCACAGGCAGATTAAGATCGCAGTTAGTGTAAAGTACTACCAGATGGAAACAAAAGCATTTTACACCCACATTGCACTTGGGTAAATGACAATGCAAGGAGCAACATAGGAGAATCGGGGTCAAAGGGTTTGGCATAAACCCACAAAAGCAAGAAAACACATTCTCTCAGAGGGTATTTCTAAGGTGTCTATTATCTTATATAGAGACTGGCTGTGCTTAGGTAATGAAGTAGTCCTCTAACACTGCGCGATCTGCTGTAATATATGCTGCTCCATGAATGATGGGGAGCCATTCCAAACTCAACCTTTCATGACTTTCATAGATAGAATTATAATAGCCTGACTTATATTTGAATGCAAATTCTATTTGAATCTTAAAAAAAAAACCACTAAATTCTACTCCCTGCAAGGTTAGCAAGACTTAATACCTGGCACCTCTAGAGGTCAGTGTAACATCAGAAGTGGAAAACAATCCCTGTCGGACTGCTTTCTGTGTGCTGTGGTGGGCTTACATTTATATTGGAATGCAAATTTGCCCAACAATAAGGTTTCAAGGGAAATGTCTATATAATTTTTTGTAATTTTGTAAGGAGGAGGGCCCAGCGTCAACTATTTCTACGGACTGAAACTGTGAATGAGGTTAGTAAAGGCTCTGTTGGTAGTTAGACATCAGGAGTGTCTATTCTACCATGTGAGTGTAAAATGCTCATTGGTATTAAGGGGAGTTATGGGCATATATCCACCAGGGGCCAAATCCTGAAGTCCTGATTCACTCTTTACTTGGCTCTTATTCTGGCATAATTCCCACTGAAATATTTTCAGGAATTTTCCTTGAGCAAGTATAATATGCTGGCAAATTGTGTGCTGCATCCTCCCCAAGTGGCTTGCCAACAAGAAGGTACCATCTCCATAGAGGCTACCCGTTAATGGAGTTATTCCTTTTAGTCCTCTGTCGTGATGCTGAAGGTCCTCGCTTCAAATCCTGTTGATAATCCACATGGGGATGTGAAAAAAGAACTAAGTAAAACTGAGGGTATGTCTACACTATGCCGGCATAGCCCCATAGTGTAGACGCAAACTACACTGGGAGAAGGTGTTTTTCCATCCAACGATGTTAGCTATGTCATCAGAAGCATTCTCCCATCAACATAGCTGCATCTACAGTGGGGAGGTTTTCAACATAGCTACGTCAGTCAGGTCTGTGACATTTGCATGCCCCTGACCAATGTAGTTAGGCCGATATAACTGAGAAAGGGTTTCAGGTTTGGCCTAAGCAGAATAGTCCTGATTTATAAATTATAAATTCTGACCAATATCTGCATGAGATATCTCCCAAGAGTTTAGTAAATGAACCATTTGGGAGTGAATCCTGAATCCTTGCACACTAAAAACTCTCACTGAAGTCACTTGGAGTTTTGGACAGGCAAGCATGGTAGTTTCATTGCTATTTTGTAAGAATTGCAGCTGTACAAAGCTGTAGGTGTCCTTGGTATTTGGGGTGGTGACAGCTGCCCAAAGTGGTCAGGGTTTGCTGCAGTGCTTTAAGCAATGTTACCCTCCAGAAACGATGGAACTTGACCCACTGTAGTGATCATAAGCTACAGTTGACCTTTGAAAGAGCCATCAAGCTAGCTTAAGCTCTTTAACTCCTAATCAAGAGGGAACAGTGTTTTTGTGAGGGAGATGAACATTCATCACAGGTGGAGAGGAAACTGCCAAATTTGAACCCAAATGTCATGGGTTGATCCACTAGCTTTTCAGTTCATCATGTTGCCTAAACTATCTCTCTTGCCGATAGCTTCAGATTGTCTTTTATGTATATCTGACGGAGTGGAACACAGCTGTAGTGTAGCAAATGCACATAGCACATCTCTCGATTAAAGCAATCATATACCCAGATGCAAAATCTAGAACTCAGAGACCTCAAGTGAATCCGAGACATGCCTAGGGGGATTTCGGTTTTGTGAGGAATAAATATAAATATTATAATCTGTGACAGATATAATCTCACTCCAGTACTTTCTGCTTTATTTAAAAGGAAAGCTACCTATTTTGCTCAGTCCTGCAGCCTGAAAGTTCCAAAGATCATAAATCCTCTCAGCATGAACAAACTGTGAAATGTAGTTGAAAATAAATTCATAATATCAATTGGCATTAAAGAATTTATTTTCAACTACATTTTACAATCTGCTCATGCTGAGAAATGCTTTTATCTTTGGAACTTTCTGCTGCAGGGCTGAACAAAATTTGGGACACTTTCCTCTTAACTCTTTCAGTTCCCCTGGATGACAGAATCTAGCAGAATGGAAACTGCTAATAAAATGTTGATATTCAGATCAGACAAGTATATTGTGCTAGGTGAGCTTGCTCCCTGGTCCCAAGAAATGGGGGGAAATATTATATGTTGTAAATCCTGTTCATGTATATGGAGCCTGCTGTTTAAACCAAATATTATATATTCCTTCATATAGGTCACAATTGCTATACTAACAGTACATCACTATGCTATCGAAAAATCACAACTGCTATGCCAACATATAAATCACTAAGGACCAGATGTTAATACCCTTATTCATGTTGAATAGCACCTGGCTATATGAATATCTCATAAAGCACAAAGGTAGCATTCAGTGACCTTTGCCTTCTCCATCCCCCAACCTGAGATCCTGTGCCATGCACGGTTTGGCTAAACCAGAGGCTATCAGCCATGAAGTGAATGGGAACTGTGGGTACTCAACAGCTCTGAAAATCAGGTCCAGTGTCTCCCTCGGCAACCAAAAACTGAGACATCCTAAACTAAACTAGCACCCAATTTTGAACGTTTTGGCCTGGAGTTCCATTCCCCACCCTACTGCTAACTGTGCAATCAAGGGCCAGTTACTAAACCTATCTAGGCCATTTAATCCCTCTTCCATATGATGCACAACTAGCTTGTGGAACTCATTGCCACTAGATATCACTGAGGCCAAGATCTTAGCACGATTCAAAAAAAAGGTTGGACTTTTATATGGATAATGAGATCATACAGAGTAACAATCATAAAGAATGAATATGAACAAAGATCAGAAACAAAAAATCCTGATATTTCAGGACAGAAAGCCACATCTAGCTAATGAGCATTAGGAGAAAACTTTCCCTGTGGTCAGGTTATTCCATAACTGCCACGCTGCAGGATTTCATCTGAAACTTCCGGAGCTGGCCACTGTTGGAAACAGGCTACTGGATAGGATGGTTTGATCCAGTATGGCAATTGCTAGATTATACTGAGCCCATTACCAAAGTGTTCAAGTGCCTTACAAAAAAAAAAAGCACAGCTACAATGGATCTGCAAAGCATGGGTCTACAACTCCTATCAGTCCCCTTTCCACTGCAGGTCCCTTTCCCCTGGCCAGGTAAGAGAAAAGGTGCTGAACCAGGAAGTGGATGGGTTCTGTCAGGAGGCAGTGGCCGCATGGCAAAAGGGAAGCTGCAGGGAAGCTGAGGCAGTGGCCGCATGGCAAGCAGGGAGCTGGAGAGAAGCTGGAGTCAGAAATGGATGCAGAGCCCTTATGGAACAGGCTATGACTGCCAGATGTTACAGCTCTGTGTGAGAGCATTAGTGACTGGACAGGGAGCCCCAATGAGAAATACTAACTGAGCCTGGCTTGAGAACCTACAAGTTCCTATTTGCTTGAATAGAGACTGAACTGAAGAGGACATCCCAGGCACTAGGCCTGAAGAGCCCTGACTTTTGATTAGGCTGCCCAGAGACCCAAACATTCACTGCTATTTCTCACTTGAACTATACCTGTTTAAGCCTCCGTACCTAGGGCTGGGTCTACACTACCCGCCTGAATCGGCGGGTAGAAATCGACCTCTCGGGGATCGATTTATCGCGTCCCATCGGGACGCGACAATCGATCCCCGAATCGACGCTCTTACTCCACCAGCAGAAGTGGGAGTAAGCGCCGTCGTCGGGAAGCCGCAGAGGTCAATTTTGCCGCCGTGCTCACAGCGGGGTAAGTCGGCTGCGATACATCGAATTCAGCTACGCTATTCACGTAGCTGAATTTGCGTATCTTAAATCGACTCCCCCCTGTAGTGTAGATGTAGCCTAGGGTATTTGCAAACTTTCCATTTCCTGCGAGCCCTGGTAAAATAACCTATCCCTTAGCCGTGTGTCTGAGTGGTTACTGGGACTCACCAGGGCTGGTGCTTGCAAGGCCCAGCTGCTGAAATACCACTAGTGCCTGCATCTGAGTGGTAGTACACCTGGCATGCCACTGGCATCCTCGGGGGCTGGGGTATGGAGTAGCCCCAATAATTACACAGCTAAAATAGACCAATTCCTCCCCACTTCCCTAGAGGCATTTGGTATCTTACCCCTCTACACATATCCTATTCTGTCATGTCCTCTTCCTCCTCCTCGTTGTGGCTCTGGAAAAACTGAAATGAACAAGTTAGCTTTATACTTCTCTGAGGGGGCAGTGAGATGTGGTCATTCAAACCTGTCTGTGCCTCAGTATCCTTATCTGTTAAATGGGAATAATACTTACCTGCCTTTGCAAAATACTTTCAGATCCTTGGATGAATGTATGT